GCACGAAAAGATCGATTCAAGCACGAAGCATCGACTGTCGCCCACGCGAGCTGAGAGATAATGCTGCGTGCGTAAGCGTCCCACTGAAGGGCAATGTGTTGATATGCAAACGCTATGTACGTATCGAGGTCGTGGTCGCAAGGTTCATAACAATGTTCGCGATCAGTGCAAGCACGCACATGGACCCCACGAATCACTGTACAGCGAATCAAACAACACAAGTTCAATGAGTGACCACATTTCGACTTGGCGAACGTGTCGATGCTCCCCCAATGAAACGAGTTGTCCAGCAACGCGTGACAAGCAGTGTCCTGCACAGGCATGCGTATCTGGAACAAAAGGGCGCGGCCTTGCTGCGGTGAAGGTTGCACAAATGGAGCCAAGCGCACCCACGGTACGCTCGAACTGGTTTTCCATTATGCATCCCAACATCTCGGTAGATAACTTCGAGTATCTAGGTCTCGATGGGGTGCCTCAGGAGCACCAAAGGGACCAACGGATTGCTGCTACGTTTCTTCGTGCAGTTTCTCCTCCTCATCCTCCCCCTCCTCCTGCTCCTCTGCATCATTTTCCCACTCTTCCTCCTCCTCCGTGTCATGTTCCCCCCTCCCCACTTGTTCCTCGATCCCTCTTCCCCTCCATGCACTTCCCCCGTTTCCTCCATCCTCCCCCCTCCCGCCCCTTTGTTCGTCCTCACCCCAATTAGACTCCTCGTGTTCCTCCTCCTCGTCGTCGTCTCCGAAAGTGCCTGCCCCCCGTGGCCGGTGTAGGTCACCTCATGGTCCTCTTCTTCCTCCGCCACGAAACGCACAAAGACCTCCGCGGGAGTGCGTCGGCCACGCGGCCAAGACGAACAATCGCCAATTGTGCACGACAAGCTGTCGCCGATCTCTTCAAAACAGCTGGGCAGTCGTTGAACGACTGCCCGAGTAGTTTTGCACAAGTCGGCGCGACACGGTGAACCACTACAATGACATCAGTGAGATGTTGATCGAACTGGCTGCTTTCGTAGTAGAGGCGCGGACCCACGCCGCGGTCGGAAGCAGCTGAAAGGGCACTGCGGGGCAAAAATCGGGCATGCCAGGAGAAGGACGGGCGCGGACGGAAAAGGGGGAAGCCGCAGACGGCGGGGCACGTTCGGAGAATGAAGTCCTGACGCGCGTGCCAGAGCACTAGATAAGCTGCTCACAGACACCCCCATCTTTGCGGAGAGCCAAGGTGACTCGGAGGAGGACGAGACGTAGGCAGAGGAGGAGGAAAGAGGGGGCAGGCCACAAGTATAAAAGCATAGCACACGAAAGGGATACGAAGCACCACAAACACAGAAACAAGGTGGACGGCACTCGCGAGGAGCCCCACGCGAGCACGGCCGACGAGACACTGTGCGAGAGGACGGGTGGGCACAAGAGGCACGAGGCACTCAAACTGGAGCATACAATCGTAGATCACGGCAGGAGCAGGAAAGTAGAGCGGACACAAAGGCACTTCCACCAATGCAAAATAACCCTGGAAACGCATCGGCAACATGCGCCCAGCACAAAGGTGCAACGATGAGACAAGCAAGGGAGAGGAAGGAAGGAAGAGCACACAAAATAAGAAAAACGTTATGGCGCTGGCCTGGGAATAGGCCGTGAAGGCGACCCGAATCCTACCACGCAGGGGCGGACGCAGCATAGTGAACACTCCCCTGGGAAGGCAGCGATAGAGGGAGCGCAAGCAAGAAAAGACAAAAGAACGCGGAAAGCGCCGTCGAAAGTTGACACGGGCGAAGCCGGCAAGGTGAGTCGATATGCGCGCGAAAAGGACTTGACAGGCAAGTAGTTGAAGCTGGCGTTGGAGCTGGTCTTGACGCTGCCTAAACGCGGACAGCATCTAACCGAGTCGGGGGGAATCGCTGTCATTGCAAGTCGCCCCTGCACAGTGCGCACATGCGGGGGCGGAATACGCGTCATCGTCGTCGGGCTTGCATCGAACGGTCGTTCTGCAAAAGCCCCAAGTCGAACCGAAAAGGTCTGCCGAACGGCCCAAACGCACTCTCGAAGGCACGCGCGAAAGCTCCGACCGCAAGACGCCACTGCCAACCCAGCTGAAGCCATGCCGAGATCGAGCGAGAGATCCTCTGAGATCGCGCGCGCCCCGCGCGAAGTGGCGCGCCCAGCACCACGGGCCCAAAATGCCCACGCGCTTTTGCGCAGCAGCAAAGCGCATGCTCCGACATAAAGCAAATTGCCCCACATGCTCGCACAGCCCCCCCGCACAGTTTGGCGAAGTATGAGGTCACTCGTGGACGATCCAGGCCCACCCTCCTCCAGCGTCAGGACGCGAGCTGGGGGGCGCGCCCATGTGTCCGACGCGCCCGAGCGCGGACATTGGCAAGGCGACGCACGCCACTACGCGGCACTGCACGCCAAGGCCTCGGCATGCGCACGCCCCCCACCACCACCACCACCCCCACCCAACCCCTCCAAGATTGCAGCTCCTCGCCTGGGTAGATGAAGAAACGCAAATGCTTTCCGCAATCTGCTCGCGGTACGTTCGACAACTCAGGAAGTGATTACCCACGTGTATCCCTGGAATTTTCCGACGGCGAATTGCCCAGCGAGTCCTTAGAATACGTTGCGCAACTTGATTGAAATTCTTCGCATCGCCAAGATGTGCCCGAATATCCCATGCGACTGGAACGCATCCAACCAAAAATCTGGGAACAGAAGATCGGCGCGGTCAGCACGCCACTCCGCCTCCACACAGCGCACGAGCACCTTGGCAATCGAAGAGCATGACACCTCGGAGAAGGCAAAGCTGTCGCGAGTCGCATGCGAGGGCAGCCAAGCGCGAGCGCGCTCCGCTTCAGCAGGGCCCCGCGGCCCGCGCCGCGCCCTCGCCCACCACGCAGCGCCGCCCCCGTCGGAGAGGCCATCCTCGGCGCGCTCGCGAACGCAGCACCGCTGGCACTTGAGGCTAGGCGAACGAACGCACCGCCATGCACCGCGGCGCCGGCAGCGCCCTCCGCCCACGTCGCCTCGGCGCACCGCGCGCGCCGCGTCGCCTCGCGAATCCTCCCCCTGTTCCCCGACGTCGCCCACGGCGGCGCCCAGCGAGGGCAGCATCGGCGGCGGGGCGGCGCGGGGGGACCGGCACGCGAAAGCGCAGCGGCTCGCGACGGCAGCACATCCAGGCGCAGCGCTCTACGCCGTCCGCCGCGAGGCGGTCGAGCAGGCGCTGCCCTGCAGCTCGGCGCCCCCCCCGCGCAGCTTCCCGATCGCCTGTGACCGCGCCCGATTCGCCCCACGCCACGGCCGCTGGGCGCCCCGCGCCAGCGCTCGGAGGCCGCGCCACGGGGCTCACCCCGTCGAAGACACTGGGCGCGACCTAGACCTGGACGTCCAACCAATGCTCGCCAAGACGTTCCGCACGGAATGCGCACCGCGGGCGTCGATGTCCGCTGGCCGCCCGCCGTCCACCACGGCCCCATCCAACCCCGAGCGCTTCGCGGGCCTGCTCCTCTTCCGCCAGGGCGCCCAAATCGTCTGGCCCGAGCGCGACGCCCGGCCCGGGCGGGCCCACGAACGCCATCGGAGTCCTCCTCGAGAAACGGCCTTCACTGGCCGCAGGGGCGCTGTCCGCTCCCCGAAGCCGCGCGAAGAAAGCCTCTGAAACCTTCCCGCGAATCGACTGCCACCGCCTCCAGGTCCTCCTCAGCAGATTCACTGACCTCCTGACCCGCCATGGCTGCATCCTCCTCATCCCCCCACCCCCCCCCCACCCCCCCCCCACATCCCTTGGCGGCCGCTCCTTCGAGCTGCCCCTGGCGCCACCCCAGTCGCCGCCGCGGGCGCCCCCCACCGCAGCGAGCGTCGCGTAGCGCGGCGGCGACCTGCGCGAATACGTATCGCAGCTGCTCAGAAGAATGTTGAACAATCGACGGACGCCCGTGCCGCTTGCTGCTGACCGCGAAATCCGCCAGCTCGCGCCCCTCGTCGACCTCCGCCTTCTCGCGCGGCCACTCGCGGCGCTTCTGGCGCCATGCACCTAGAGCTATAAACCAGTTGCGCTCCACGTCCAGCACTGCCTCCGACTTCGCGCGCCAGCGGTCGTCTATCAACCTCGCAAGCGCCCGTTCGCGCGGTCACCCGTCTCGAGATAAGCGCCGCGGCGGGCACCCGAGCATCCCCGCGCATCCAGTACGCTCTCCCGCGCAGTCTGCCGACGCCACGCACGCCGGTTCACCTGCGCAACAAAATGCGCCTGGCTCTCATCACACGGCAAATCCTGGCCAGCGCTGACATCCACGGTTGATCCGCTTCGCGAGCAGAGCCTCGCCCCGCAGGACTCCTCGTGGAACCGCACTCCACGCGGCCGCCAGGTAGCCGAAGATACCTGCAGGCGCCCACGGAGGACGGCTCAAGCCGCGCGCGGAGGAGGCCACGCGCGCTCCTCCAGGAGCTCTCGGCTCTCGACCTCCTCACTCTCTCCACATATTGGCGCTGGGCATGTGCTTCTCTCGCTGGGAAGTTCTCGCCGCGAGAGGTCGGGCGCGAGGGCGGAGGGAGAAAGCGCAACTTACCCGCGCCCTCAAGCAGGGCGCCCCTTCCAGGGCGCTAGGTTGAGGTAAATTCGCTGGCGCTGGCGCCCGGCACTCGGCTTCCAGGGCAAATGCCCCATCACGCATCCACGCCAGGTCGGACCTTTGCACGGCATGAGGCGCGGGAAGCGCACCCTGGCGAGCCTCTCTCGGGCCCTGGGGACACGGGCCGTCACGGCGCTGCGGCGAAACGGACCCCGCGATACCAGACGGCAGTTCACGGCGCCAGCGAATTTGCGCGCGTCGCAATGGTTTGGCTGAATGGGCCTCCAGGGGCAGCCCCGCTCGGAGTGGCCCGCCACGTTAGGCCAAAGGCCCGCGCGCCGCCTCGGTCGGTCGGGGCCCATGGGCCCAACGGCAGCAAGAGACCTTGAAAAAGCACCGATGTCGCAGGTGGTGGACATGGCCCAATTGGCCC